GGTGTACTGGACTGTACTGCCATGATAGCGACTAGTGGTAAAAGATTTCTATTTCTTTGGTGTAATGACCTCGCGAAGCCCCATATATAGAATGGGACTACGTGAGATGCTTCTAAACTCGATCGTCACGAACGTAACACACGTGGTCAACACGCACGCTTGCCGCGTATTCCTGGCCTGCGCGTGACCAACCCGTGCTAACCTTACGTAATGAAATGCCGCTAATACACGCTGCGCGGTCAACGTTCGCTGCTGCCTAGCTATATACCGATACTAAGTCATTGCTAATTTCAGTTATACTTGCTCGCTACTGCTGTAATATTATTTAATTATGCGCTCGCGCGTAGCGCAAATATCTATACATATGTTACCAACGAACACTACGTATCTTCTCAAACGAACTCTACTCTCTACCTTCTAATAATTCTAAACTACATTAACACTGTTACACAGGCCCCCCGGCAGAATAGTTGCCTGGCTCAACTGCCAGCAACTGTCGTCCTAGACAACAAGCAATAAACACAATATTAACGATTGCAATCCTTTATCATAACGGTAAAAAAAACTCACTGCGTAGTACACAAAATTTATGGAAACCAAGGGTAATTGTCACGCTCGCGTAATATAAATAATTATAAACACGACACTTAGTACCGCATGACCTGCGACGGCGTCTCGTACACATGTAGGCGGTACCGTAAGTCGCGGTGTGCTATGACAACGCTGGGTTAGGTAGTGAGGTGCACAATAATACCACAATAATGCGGCACTCCCAATAGCGAGTAGCGTTTATAGCGCGAAATCCAGTCAGGCCGTCGGTCGGCTGGGATGCCTCTGTTGCGGCATTTGCGCGTCTTCGTCGCTGTCCACGTCCAACAGGATTGCCTCCGTATCTGGGTCGGTGGCTGTACTTCCTGGTGGTGAGGGTGTATAGAGGACTGTTTCCTCGTCGCTTTCCTCCAACTGACGAACCCTCTCCGGATTGCCGTCATCAGTCGCAGGTACACGCGGACCTTCGGTTCGCGACTCCAAAGATTGCGCTGTCTGCGACGTCGATGTCTGACCAGTATCGAACCCGTCGTCGTCCATGTCCTCCTAATTTGGCGGGTATCTCAAGGTCGCTGCCCTCTGGGGCTGTCGACGTGTGCCCTGCGGTGTGCCGCCCATAATTACTGGTAAATTTGCTTCTCCTAACATCATTAGTGAGTGTCCCGTTACGGAAGTTAGCGCGTGCTTGCGTCTTGTTGACATCCCGCTGGTTTTCCGTATCGGATTCGGCTGGCTGGTGGCTCCTGACCCATGCCAGTTGGAACCGTAAATCGTGCACTTACCATTTCTTCGATATGTGCGTTTATCGTTTACACGTTCATCTAACGAGTACGCAACCCTGCTTCGGTGTCTCGTTTCACACCCGAATGATAGCTAGCGCCAGTAAATGCAGGCTCCTTAATTGCACCTTTTCCCGACGCAATATCCTACAACTGACAGCAATCAGTTTCCATAACAACTATATACAACAACTCCTAAAATTCCCGCTACCGCAATATCGATATACTTGTTACTAGCCGCTAACTAAATTCCATCGTACAGTATAAGAAACAAATATAAAATCGAAGATACCATTTGTAAGACTTAATTGCTAGACATTACTTGCGGGTCTGACCCATCTACTAATAGCGAACTCCCGTTTAGGCCCCGTTAATCAAAGCTCATCATCCCGAGAGACATTCAGAGTCAATGCTTCTCACCAGCTATCGATAGTTACCATCTCAACACCATGCATACCTATTATGCGCCAACTGTGCGGCTCCGCAACGGTAGTACTCAATAGCTTCCAAACCCCACATACTTATATTGCTGTCCCCTGGGG